CGTGGGAATTATGGGATCTACAAGATGAGATTTGGGTGGGGACACAGCCAAACCATATCACAGCTCCAAGAAAGGAAAGTTTCACTCACCATAAATGGGGCACAACCCACATTTCTATCAGGCTATATTTACTAGTGTCTTAGCTTCCCAGCTGATGGTCTACACAAAAAGGCCTCAAATCCCTATATGCCTACACAAGCAGAAGAGAGGAAATCAAAAGCTGTCGATGGAATGGAAAAGCATTAATAACTGGGAAAAGTCACACAAATATCAAACCAAAAGAGTTCCCTGCCCAGGAATCAAACCCAAGCCGTGGCAGTGAAATTGCAGAATTTTAACTATTAGACTACAAAGAACGATGGCTTTTGTTATTCCCTCAGGCCATCTGAAGTGAGGAGCTTGAGCCTCCAAAGATTTTAGCTTTGTTTTAGGTCAGATTTTTCTCTTTCATTTATTCAAGAGAGTTTTTAAGGCTAGCCATGACACTATCATGTTTCCTTTTTAAAAAAGAAATCCAATCACCCCATCATTTTTAAACATGGAAGCCTCTGGGGTCTCTTATGGTGGCTGATCAGCATCTGTTCTCTTAGAACTAAGGCTCTCTATGCTTTCCCCTTAGAACTAAGGTTCTTGCCTAGCACTCGGGTTCTCCGTAATGACGCTCACCTTAGGAAGGGTCCGTTGGAGTGTTCTTAGTGTGAGAGTCCTCATAAAATCTTATGGACCAGCTGAGTCTGACTGGACTGGGAAGGTCCCCTCCTAAACCCGGGCCAACAAAGGCATTCCCTCCAGAGTCTAGATGGAGGGAACCAGGGCAGGGACTGGGGAGGAAACAGGAAGACATAAAGGGAAGGGGTGGAGAGAAATAAAAGTCTCTGAAGTCTTCAATCTAAAAGCAGGAGATCTCAGATCCAGTGGACCTTACCTGGCTTCTTCCCTGTGTGGTCAGCTGGGGAGACAGCTGAGCCGAAGACCTTGGTGCATTGACTTCCAATCATGCTGGGAGAACCTGGGGCTCTCTGCAGATCCCATCCTCATCACCAATCATGTCAACTGAAGAATGATGAGGTTCATACATTTGGAAAGGAGAGTTTTACTTCTCATAAGGGGTTTCAGCCTGCAGCATGGCCATTCTGACAGACCGAGAAGTATAGCCTTGGGCCAGAAGCCAGAAACAGAGATTTCCACAGAGAGGAAAAAGGAGCAGGAGCAGGAATTTATGCTCAGTAGAATGGCTGAATATGCATATTAAATAAGCTATAGGAAGAGTTATGAAAGGAGAAACATGCACATGGGCAATGGAGCTTCATGCTGTCGCACATAGACCAGCTAGAACCACTCTGTGGTCAGTGGTCTCTTATCAGGAGGGAATGCTGGACAATTGTGTTGAAACCAAAAAAAGGGAGAAGCAGTGTCAGGTGCTTGATTGATATCAGCAGTGGAGTCTTTTGAAAGGACTGGTTTCTATTTAGCCCTCAGGGAAAAAAGTCTAATGGCAGTAAGTATGTGTGCAGGGGGTGGGGGTAATAAAGAAGAGTGTGTGATCCTCCGCATCCTGTCATGGCTTAGAACTCAATTTTCAAGGTTACTTTGGGGTCCGCTTGGCCAAGAGGGAGTTCGTTCAGCCAGTTGAGGAGCTTAAGGTTTCATTTTTATTTCCCAAATGCCATTATAAAAAAAAGAGAGATGAGACCTTTCTCTCTACCACATGAGGATACAGCAAGAAGGTGGCCATTTGCAAACCAGGAAGAGAGCCCTCACCAGAGGTGAAATCTGCCAGCACTGTGCTCCTTTTCTTATCATTCCCAGAACTGTAAGAAATAAAGTGTTGCTTAAGCAACCCAGTGTGTCATATTTTGTTACAGCAGCTGGAACTGACTAAGACAGAGGGAACACATTCAGTTGTTTACAGTTGAGTATAGTATTCATTGTAAGTTTTTTGTAGATGTTCATTATCAAGTTAAGGAAGCTCCTCTCTATTCTTACTTTTCTGAGTTTTTGAAAAAACTTATGAGCAGATACTGAATTTTGTGAAATGCTTTTTCTGTACTGATTGATATGATCATATAGTTTTTCTTTGATAGCCTGATAATATGGTGGGTTACATGGATTAATTTTCAAATGTTGAACCAATTTCTCCTCCCTGGTGTAAACCCTTCTTATTCATGGTGTACAATTATTGTTATATATTGCTGAAATCTATTTGCTAATATTTTGTTAAGGATTATCACATCCATAATCATGAGGAACACTAGGTGGTAGTCACCCTACCCCATCTTTTTATTACTGGGTTTGTATGGTTTTGGTATCAGGGTAATAATAATAGCTTCATAAAATGAAATGGGAAGTGTTACTGCCTCTTCTATCTTATGCAACAGATTGTGTGGCATTAGTGCTAATTCTTTAAGCATTTGGTGTAAATACCCTGTGACACTATCTGGGCCCTGAGATATCTTTTTATGGTAGTTTTTAAATTAAAAACTCAATTTCCTTAATAGTTGTAAGGGCTATTAAAATTATGTAGTTCACCGGGAGGCAGAGCTTGCAGTAAGCTGAGATCGTGCCACCGCACTCCAGCCTGGGCGACTGAGCAAGACTCCGTCTCAAAAAAAAAAAGAAAGAAAAAAAATTATGTAGTTCATATTGAATAGGTTGTGATAGGTTGTATTTTTCAAAGAATTGGTCCATTTCAAATAAGTTGTAAAATCTATATGTGTAGAGTTGTTCACAGTATTCTCTTATTATCATTTTGATGTCTATAGGGTCAGTAGTGATGTCTCCTCATTCATTCCTGGTATTAATGATTTGTGTCTTCTCTCTCTTTTTCTTTGTTATACTACATGTTTCCTTACCAATGTTTATGCTTTTTGTTTCTTTTAATTGTCTTATCGCACTGGAGCTTTCAGTATGTGTTGAATGAGAGCAATGAGAAAGGACAACCTCGCTTTATTCTCAATCTTAGGGGGAAAGCATTCAGTCTAGCTGAATGTTTACATAAAGCACTAGTTGTAGTTTGGTGGTTTTTTTTTTTTAAATCATCAGTTTAGGGACGTTCCCTTCTATTCTTTGGTAGGAAACCTAGGTAGGATTGGACTTTCAGCCCTCTTCTAGGGAGGTAATAGGTGTCTCTTTCAGGATAGGGCACTGAATGGACAGTTTGAAGCCCCCGATGCCTATGTTTTCCCTCTGACATGGTGGCCAGCAACACCATGGGTAGTGGCTATTTGATCACTTGGATTGTTGAGTGACCATGAGGAGTCGACTCTCCTGCTAAGCCACAAAGGAAATTTTGTATAAGTAAGAAAGAACTCTGGTGCTTTCAGTGATTGGTTCATTCATTTCAGGGTTTCAGGGTTACCTATAAGCACTCCTGATGTGCAAGGTCTCCTTCATGAATGGAATATTATATTTTTTGAAACATTTAAAAAAATTAATTAAAGATTCTTATATGGCACGTCTCCCTTAGTCTTAAGTTAGTTAATTTTATTGATACATTTGAGATGGAGTCTCATTCTGTCACCTAGGCTGGAGTGCAGTGACATGATCATGGCTCACTGCAATGTCCACCTCCCAGGTTCAAGCGATTCCCCCGCCTCAGCCTCCCGAGTAGCTGGGATTACAGGTGCCTGCCACCATGCCCAACTAATTTTTGTAATTTTAGTAGAGATGGGGTTTCACTGTGTTGGTCAGGCTGGTCTTGAACTCCTGACCTCAGGCGATCCACCTGTCTTGGCCTCCCAAAGTGCTGGGATTACAGGTGTGAGCCACCACACTCAGCTTTTATGGATACATTTTCTAATATTTAAACATCCTTTTTTGGGGGGCTAAATCATGATGTATTACATACATTTGTTAGATTCAATCTGCTAATAAGGTATTCAGATATTTGTGTCTTGATTCTGAAAGCTGACAACTTTCCTTTTCCTGCATCTTCCTTATTGAGTTTTGTTATCAGGGCAGCTAAGCAACTCCCCATCTTTTTCTATGCCCTGGAATGAATTGTATGAGCCAGGAACTATCACATAAAGGTTTTTTATTCTCATCCATAGACAGAAGATCTGGAACTATTCTGGTTTTTTCTACGATGATTGCTCTTTCTAAGTTTTCCTCTACTTTTTGAGCCAATATTGGTAATTGATGTTTTATCAGAAACATCTATATTTTGAAAATTTAAAGTTATGCATGTTATTATTATTGGCAAATCTATTTCTGTTGCTGCATATTCTTTTTCCTTTTGTGATGTTCAAAATATTTTAAAATGAAACACAAGTTCCTCTCCCACATCTCACCTCTTTTGTTCAGTTCCTCAATCCACGGTAAATCTCCTTATTTCACATTAGCCCAGAAAAGATCGATGGCATTTATGAGCAGATGAAGGTTGATAGCAAAGCTCTTCCTGGTAGCAACTTCCCTTATGCTCCTGAGAGATGCCCTGGAGGTCATGCGGTTTGTGTTTTTTAAATAGTGCAGAATTTGATTTGTAAATAACTCATTTAAGTTTTCATAGGAATATTTATTTGGTGAATGGGTCTGTGATTTTTCATATTTTGTCCTTTGTGTGACCTGGACCTCCAACATGAATGGCAAGCTCTGGCCATCTCAGCAGCACTCTTATCTAGTTCCTGAAAATTTTAAAGCCCCCTACTACGTGGTGTTGATCCCCAAATATTGATGCGCGACAATACAGAAACCATGAACTCAGTTCCCTATCAGCCCCCAGCCCCCACCCCCAAGTCAGCCCCTGAGTCCAGCCTCCGAATCCCCCAGCCCTCAGTGCCCAGTCCCGAGTCCCCCAGCTCCGATCCCCCAGCCCCTGAAGACCCAGCCTCCCGGTCCCCCTAGCCCCCGAGTCCAGTCTGATCCCCCAGCCTCCACAGTCCTCCCAGCCTCCCGAGTTCCCCCTTCCCTGATCCCCCCCAGCTCTGAGTCTACCAAGTCCAAAGTCCCAGCCCCCCCCAACCTGCTCTCAGCTGCATCCCCACATGCCAGCCAGCACAGAGTCAGGGGACGAGGTTATTTATTGCTCAGAGAGGGACAGCTTAGGACAGGAGACCCCAGGCTGAGGCCCAGGAGGTCCCAGGGTCCCAGGGTCCCAGGAAATGTGCCTTGGTCATCAGCCTCCTCGTCCCTCCCAGGAAGGCGACATCCTCTCCGTCCGCACAGGGGCCGAGGCTCCGGGACCTGATGTGCACAAAGGGACTCCGCTGTGACTCTAGAACCCTGCAGGGCAGGGGGCATCCCCTCCCAGGCTAGGGGTGTAGGACCCCTGCTTGTGTGAGGGGAGCCCCACCTCAACCCCAGCCTCAGGCTGGAGGGTCTTGTGATCCCAGGCCTGCCCTCCCCTGAGCACCCCCCTCACTCACCCCCACCCTGAAGGAGAGGGTCTCATCCTGTGCCCAGGGCACAGGAAACGGCATCTGAAGTGGCCAACCCCAGAGATGCGGGCACGTGGCCAGCTGGGCTTTTCCAGAGGCCCCAGGATTCCAGCCCATCGCTCAGGGTCAGCCCTGGGGAATGGGCACAGTGGGGTCTGTTCCAGGGACCCAGAGAGGCGACCTCAGGCTATGGGCGAGGCTGGTACATTACCCAGGAGGCAGGACTGAGCAGGAGCTTATCTAGATGCGGCACTGTTCTGTGGGAGGAGAGGGGGCAGTAGGGGGCTCAGTGGGAGGGGAGACTTAGCTGGGGACACAGCAGCCCCAGGGCCAGACGTTGGGGGATGACGGGAGGGAGACGGGACCCCACCTCAGGGTGCCTCTGCACCCCCAGGGAAGCCCTGGGGAGAACGTGGGAGGGGCCAACGAGGAGTGACAGGTACTGCCCTGAGTCCTACAGAGGCTGGGACAGTGGCAGCTTCTCCTCTAGCCAAGGCTGGGCCTGTCCTGGGGGCAGCTCACCTTCTGCCTGGGTCATGTCCAGGAAGATCTGCATGTGCACAGGCAGAGTCTTGAGAAAGCTGATGAATTCCGCCATGACCTTGTCATCCACCTCCAGGGTCCTGACTGTGGGGGACATTGGCTCAGTCCTGGGCCCTGGGAGCTCCAAGGGCCCTGCCTGGGGAGGGAGGGCAGGGAAGGAGGCCCTGGTGCTCTGAGGTTGGGCAGAGTTTGGTCCGGAGCAGGTTCTCAGACTGGTCTCCAGGGTTTGACCAACGGGCCTGCAGGCTCCCTGTCCCCAAGCCCCGCTCCTTGGCTGGGCCCGCTCCTCACGTACCCACGCTGGGACCCGCAGAACTCAGGATGGTGTCTACAGGGTCACGGGAGGAGAGCACAGTGTCCGCCTCCCCCGCCGCGTGGGGCTGCCCTCCCACAGCCCAGGACAGGTGATTTGTAGAGCAGGAGCGTCTCTACAGCCCAAAGCCAATGGTCCATGTAGTGGCCCTGGGAACTCCCAACAGCACTGCAGGTGTGACGTGGAAAATGTCACCTTATATTCATTTTCCAAACATGACTGTTTGAAAGACATTTTAGTATCTGGCTTCTTATTTGACAAAATAATGGAAAATCTCCATTCAGGAAGGCTGTTGGATTTATAGCCACCTGTCGACCACACAGAGATGGTCAAAGTCACCTGCCCTTGCAGCTGACCTACAGGGACACCTCCTTCCCGGCATCCACAGTGGCCTCTGCTGTCCTCGGGGTCTGTGTCTGTCCCTCAAGTCCCTGTGTACAACGCTTCCCTTGTTTCTGATGTAACACTAGGACTCCCCTCCCCCTCCTCCCCCTGCCACGGGGCTCCTGGGCTCCTTGGGAAGGCGATCCCAGGGACTGGGGGAGGGCCGAGCCAATGGCTCCCTCACAGGCCCGCCTTCCATTCACTCGAGACCGATCTGAGCGTCTCATTCTGTGTCCGTTTCCCACGGGAACCCTGGGGGCCCAGGCGCGCACCCAGGTACTGGCAGGCCAGGTTCTGCCTGGGGGTGCTCTCCAGGCAGAGGAACAAATATTTGCTGCCGTCGGTGTTGAACAGGTAGATCCTGTTCTCATCCAGATCTAGAAAAAGAACAAGACAGGAGCAGAAATGAATTCTGGGCGCTTTGCTGCAGTGGGAAGGGGAGTGCTGGTCGGTCTCCTGTGGTCCAGCTGGACTTCCCATGAGGGATGCGTCCGCCCCGACGCCCAGCGTCTCCCTCCCATTTCTCTCCTACCACACTCCAGGCTGTGCAGAGCTACCCCACAGCGGGCCCCCCTTGGGAACTTCCTTCGGGGCCAGTGTCCCCCTGGACCCCAGCGCGGTGTGAGTTTCCCATCAGAGAGCTCCCAGCACGGCTCACAAGTGACGCCAAGGGGCAAACGGGGCTGGGAGAGGCCTGGCTGTTAACTGTGACTCTCCACGGAGACACAGACCGTCCCCTGGCTCGGGATTCCCTCCCTCATCATCACACCCAGACGACCACCTGGGCGAGCCACCCTCAACACTGTGGCCCAGTGAGGCTAAGAAACCGGGTCTCTACTCTGATGGGGGTGAGACCGACACCCAGCCGAGGCAGCGAAGGTGAGTCCTGAGAGTTACCACCACATGCCAGGGCGGCGGGGAAGCGGAGACCCTCGGATCGGGGCCCAGTGAGGTGGGCTCCACCGACTTAGCCCAGTGGCACCACCAGGGCAGAGCTGTGTCACCAGGGTGGCTTATATGGAAAATGCCAACGTCTCCGCCCAGCTGCAAGCAGGGGATGCTGGAGACCCTGGGTGGGTGCCCTGGCACAGGAGTCCTTTCAAGTGCCTCAGTGGTTGCAGTGTGCGGCCGTGGGGGAAGTCACATGGAGGGGAGAATGGGGGTACCGGAACGCAGGACGTGGCTCCCGGGGGACTCCCTGCTCCAGGCTGGGGAGGGGAGGCCTGGTGAGAAAGAGCCATCATGGCTCTCTGGCATCTCGAATTAGCGATGAACGAATGCAGAATCAAGGAGATGCAGCCTCCAATCCGGCGGTCACAGGGGCCCTGACTCTCAGCAGATAGCTGGTGGAGTGCAGCTGGGAGCCATGCGGAGGGTGCAGGGAGAGTGGGGGCAGGCTGCTGGCTAAGGGGGTCACCGCTGCTGCCTGAGCTGAGCCCAAGCGACCCAGTGTCACTGCAGGGAGTGAGACCAGCCCAGAGGGGACCCAGAGGCGGTGCTGCTCCCTGCGGCTGCCGTCACCATCGTGACCCGCGCTTGCCTTAGCACAGCCAGGTCAGAGGCCAGGCCCCACTGTCCCACCCCTTGGGAACCTGGCCAGTGTCCCCAGAGCTGCCTGGGCTGTGGCCGGCACTTACAGTTGATCTTGAACTCAATGGGGTTCTCGGTTTTCTCTGCAATGATCTTCTCCTCAATGCACTGGTTGCTCTCCCTGAAAGGGCTTCGTTTCTGTGACCTGCGTGCACAAACGCTATGGTGGCCAATCTGCAGCCCTGGAGAGGGGGGGCAGGGGCCAGACTCCGAGGACTGAGGAGAGAGGGGCTTCCAGGCCACAAGTGCTGGTCATCAGGACAAACACTGCTCTCGGGAGACCCCTAACGTGTAGCCCGGGACCAGGCAGAAGAGGCCAGAGGGAGCCAGTGAGTGCCCTGGGCCCCCGAGGTCAGGGGCCATGACCGTGGGCAGCAGTGGTCCCGGGGTTCATGCAGCAATCATGGGGTTCAGGTCCTCATCTCCCCCAGCCGTGACTCTGGGGGCAGACAATCCTCACAGGATCTGCCTGGTCCCAGGAGACCACAGACCACAGCAGGCCAGCCTGGCCCCCACACCGGCCTTCTCCGCAGGCTGACCCAGGCTGCGATGTGTGGTCAGTTGTTGGCCCAGAGTCCCTGGGCAGGGGCTCTGAAGGGACAGGCAACCTCCTGAGTTTCATTCCCCACCCCACTTGGCACCATGGAGGGTCCACAGTGAAGCCCCTGGACCATCAGGAAACGCCTGGGGCCGGCCCTGGCTCTGCCCACCCGTCGTAGTCCTGGACCCCGGCTGCGGGAGAGTGAGCCCCGCCAGCCACAGCCCCGATGACGAGGAACCCACCATCTGCGCAGGACAATCTCCAGGTTGCCCTCGGGGGTGGGCTGCAGCGAGCTGATGTAGATCCTCAGGGGGGCCTCCTTGGTCTCCAGGAGGGAGAAGTCACTGGCCGCCATGGCCATGGAGTGCCAAGTCCCTGCCAACTGAAGGGGCCTCGAGCTGCACGGGGGTCCCCAGGCCACCATGGCTCTCGTTGTGCCCCGTGCAGGTGAGGCTGAGTCCCACCTGTCCCCAGCTCCCTCAGGCCACTGCTGGAGTTGGACTGGACTCATCAGGCTGCTGCATGGGACTGATGCCAGAGGGGGCCTCACGCCGCCGTGGACCCGACTCTGCTGCCCCAGAAATGTTCCAGCTAAACTCATTTGAGCCCAAAAAAGCACCAGGCTGAGCCCATCTCCTTGAGTCAGGGGAATATTTGGATCCTGGGGAGCCATGTGGTTGGGGCTGGAGGGAGGTTGGGGGACAGAGAGGCCCTGCCTACGGGCTGAATTGTGTCCCCAAGATCCATATATTGAAGTCCTGACCGCAGCACCTCCAAATGTGAGCTAGAATGGTTAAGAAGTGATGAAGTTAAACTGTGGCCATTAGGGTGGCCCTGACCCAGTCTGATAGGGGTCCTTAGAGGAGGAGATTAGGACACAGACAGCCAGAGGGACGGCCCTGTGAGGACACAGTGGGAAGACGGCGTCTACACGGGTGCCCTGGGCCCCCGAGGTCAGGGGCCATGACCGTGGGCAGCAGTGGTCCCGGGGTTCATGCAGCAATCATGGGGTTCAGGTCCTCATCTCCCCCAGCCGTGACTCTGGGGGCAGACAATCCTCACAGGATCTGCCTGGTCCCAGGAGACCACAGACCACAGCAGGCCAGCCTGGCCCCCACACCGGCCTTCTCCGCAGGCTGACCCAGGCTGCGATGTGTGGTCAGTTGTTGGCCCAGAGTCCCTGGGCAGGGGCTCTGAAGGGACAGGCAACCTCCTGAGCTTCATTCCCCACCCCACTTGGCACCGTGGAGGGTCCACAGTGAAGCCCCTGGACCATCAGGAAACGCCTGGGGCCGGCCCTGGCTCTGCCCACCCCTCGTAGTCCTGGACCCCGGCTGCAGGAGAGTGAGCCCTGCCAGCCACAGCCCCGATGACGAGGAACCCACCATCTGCGCAGGACAATCTCCAGGTTGCCCTCGGGGGTGGCCGTGGGGGAAGTCACATGGAGGGGAGAATGGGGGTACCGGAACGCAGGACGTGGCTCCCGGGGGACTCCCTGCTCCAGGCTGGGGAGGGGAG